TTTCTTTTTTTTAATTGCATTATTTGTGCTCTGCACTTCTACTTGTGGATAGGAAATACTGAGTTTTTATTTAAGGCAATGATATAAAAAGTCACAATGGTCACCAAATGACCGCAGTTTGGGGCCACGGCTCCTAAATTTAGCAGGATTTGTGATCTGGGCTCCGTGCCTGAACCAAAAGTCATGTCCTCAGTTGGCCCAAGTGGAGACTCACCTAAGGGACTGGAGAGGGGATACTCTGGGACAAATGACCCCACTCTTCCTCCCCTGTCAATGACCTTGATTCTGCATCGGGACCCAAGGAGCTTGCGGTGGGACCACCTTGGGAAAACTGAGAGAGCAGCAGGCTTGGACGGCCCCGGGTCATGCAGCGGCCCTGAGTGTTGTTCCTCAGGCCTTGTGAGAGAAAGGGGGCTTGCTGTGTGGGATCTGGGTGCAGGTCTAGTACCCGGGTCACTGCTTAAGAGCTGAGATTGAGTGCCGGAGCCCCCGAAAGGAAGAGGCAGCACCGCCATCTAGTGGCATACAGGGTGGATGGCGCCCGAGATCCGCGCACTCCAGGCGCAGAAGCACTTTTAGCACCGGAGGGCATCTCTGACCTCCAGTGACAGTGGCCCAAGGCGGAACAGGGATTTGCGGCTCCTTGCCTCTCTACCCAGGAGGGCCCGCTGAGCCATCAGCACTGAGCACAGGCCTGCCTTCACAGCCAGGTGGCGGGATCTGGGGACACCGTCTGGCCCGGGAGAGGTGGGACTATGGAAGAGAAGTGTCTTTTTAATTTCCCTGTGTTTAAAGTCTCAGGGGGCACAGCGGCGCGGGAAGAGCAGGAGCTCCCGAGCTGGCCCCTCACCCTCTGCCCTCCTCGGTGTCCTCAGCTCTCAGACAGGGACAGTCGTGCTCCTTTACAGGCTGCCCCAGGGTCTCCATTCATCATTGCAAGCCAAGGCCCAGGTCACCCCTGCAGGGAAGGGCACTCACCAAGGGCGGCTAGGATTATGGTTCCTGGGCAGGAAGTGGATTTGGAGGAAGCGGCTCCCGTGGGTCCCAGTGGGAAGGAGGGCTGTGTCCCCGTGTCACACAGTGCCCTGGGGCAGGACTCCGTGGGGGAGAGCCAGGGCCGAGGGCCAAGCCCTGCCAGAAAGACCCTGCCTATATGGAGATGTGAGGCTTTGGGCCAGGAGCAGAGCAGGGTGAGGAGCATCCCTCTGCAGGGGGCTGCACTGGAGGTGACCCTGGGAGCCCCGGTGGACCTGCAGCCCAGCCCATGGCAGGAGCTGTGCCAAGCTGCTGGAAAAACCAAGTGGGACCCCTGTCCTCAGGGAGCTTCTACCTAGGGGGAGACACATGCTCGTGCAGCCACCCACACACGTGCGTCATTGGCAGGGGGACAAAGAAGGGACTGTGCAAACCCAGACACTTCTGAGAGGTTGTCTGAGCCCATTCCAATCGTCAGGCCAAAAAAGCCCTGATAGCAACGGAATGCCTGGAAGACCACACCCCACGTGCCCCCTCCCCTGCCCCCGACCGTGCTGAACACACACTGCCCTCACCCATGACCTCGCGCTCCTGCCTGTTCCGCACGTACCACCACCCCCAGACCTCTCTGTAAAACCCTAGATGTCTGTCTTGTGGGTGGAGAAGGGAGTTGTTAAGGCTTGAGCCCACGCCCCGCTGCCGGCACCCGACATAAATGTCCGTCCTTGAGTTATTGGCTTCTCTTGTGACGATTTAATTCGAGTTTGTTCGGCAACAGTGTTGGCAACCCTGGCCCAGGGCTCTGCTTCTAATTCGCCCAGGCCCTCGGGGTCCCCCGGACTGGAGCACCAGGCCTGGCCTGTTGGTTAGCAGCTGGGAGAGATGGCTAACAACAGGACACTTGCTTTCCACCTCGGGAGAGTCCTGCCCAGGACCCCGCCCCCTTGCCAGAACCTGTGTCCTGCCCGACGTGCCCTGTCCTTCCTCGCCTCGCCTGCCCAGCTGCCCTTCTGCCAGGTGGCTGGGCGCCTCCTCTCTGAGGCTCTGCTCGAGCTGTCGCCCTGGCAGTCCCAGCTCCTCCCTCACCAGCTGCTCAGTCCTCCCAGAGCTCAGTTTCCCCAGCAATAAATCAGAAACATCCTCAGGCCTCATGGTCGGGAGGTGAGGAGAACTACAGGACCAGAGCACAGATAAATGCTTTCTTCCTCCTTTTCTGGATGACAGGAAATTAGCTAGGTGAGAAATACAAATGCCATTTGGAAAAAGACAAAAAACAAGGGCAAGAAAGAGCCACGGGGTCCCCTCTATCAATTTAGCTAAATTGCAAAGAATGCAGAAACTGTCTGTGGTGGGTGGAAATCACCCAGCAGCTGTCTGTTCTAAGAATAGATCCAAAAGGACCTCATATTCCAATGAGAGCTTTAGAATCCAATTAAAAATCAGAGAGATGTTCCCTCCATTTAAATTTTAAACATACTTTACACTTAATTTCAAACAAAGCCCAGGAAAAGCCGATCTTTGCAAAAATGTTAGGAGAGTCCTCCTCCCTACCTTTTAAGCCACATACAGAATCAGGAGAAAGCAGCTCCCTCTGGCTGGAGCGTTAATGCCCCCAAGCCCAAGGGAGGGCGGAGCTGTGCAGTCCTGAGTGAGAAGGGCAGAGGGAGGGAGGGCAGGGAGGACAGGAGAGGCGAGGGAGAAGGAGGGATAGCGCGCCGGGGGAGAAAGAACAGGCAGGCATCAGTGATGCCCGCCTGTGCGGTGCAGAGTGCAAGTTCCTGCCCCTTTTCCTCCGGGAACAGTCACCTTTAGGAATTTGAACAGAAGCCAGAAAACCGCCCAACACTCTAAATTTCCAAATACGGGGAAGAGGCTGGAGAACCTCTTCTATCCAGGTGAACATGACGGTGGTCATTCCTTTAGGCTTCTCAGCAGCCCTGAAGTGCCTGTGCGCTGTGGTTACCCCAGTTACAGATGGGGAGACTGAGGCAAGGTGAGGGTAGGTGGCTCCAGCTGTCGGACGACGTGCTGCCTTTCAGGACAGAAAGGGGCCTGTGCACAAGTCTGAGCAGGTCAGCCCCAAGTCCATTAGCACGCCCGAATCGTAATTAATCCCATTTCCAGCAGAGCCCAGGCCTGGGCCTGTGGGGAAACCCTTGTGGTCGGGATGGAGCTGGGGGTGTGTCTGAACTACCGACCTCAAAGCAGGGAGGCCACGGGAGAGGAGCTTGGACCAGCAGCTCGAGGGGGAGGGGGGCCGAGCCTCTCCTGAGATGGGGTCTGAAACGTGGGCTGGGGGACACGGGCGAGGAGCGGGCTCTGTGGTTGGGAAGAGCACAGCTTCAGCCCTGAATCTGGAACGCTATGGAAACGAAGGACAAATTATTGAGCACCTACTGTGAGCTGCCCTACCGTGGGCACCTTAACAGAAGACACTGTGGTCCGAGTGCTTGCCCCGGGTCTGCTGAGAGCACATGGGACGGAGCCCAGGTCTGGGAGACAGCACGTATACCTGAAGCCAGTGTCCCCCCTGCAACAACGTCACCTGGGCAGTGGGGGCTCACCAGTGGGCGGCAAACTCAATGCCAGGATCCAGGAACCCGCTGCTGCCACAGTCCTTGCGCAAAGGATGCTGTAAGGGCACCTGGGCAGTCTGATCATCGCTCAGAAGAAGGGGGAGCTGGGCCGTGCCAGCCGCCCCTGCCTTGCTAGGAGCCGTGGTAAGTGTGGCGAGTGCACAAACAACAGGGTTTCCTGTGACCTAAGTGGTGTGAGGTGAGTTTTGGCTCAGTGCAGCACGATACGGCAGCCCAGCTCCCTCCCGTCAGTGATGTGGACTGATCCGTGGAGATGAGATACTCGTCCACCCACATCCATCCCTCCCTGGCTGTCTGGGCTGCTGGGACGAAATAACAACGACCGAATGGCGTATAAACAGCAGGGATTTACTGTTGGCAGCTCTGGAGGCCGGAAATCCAAGATCAGGGTGCCAGCACGGGCAGGGGCAGGCCCTCTTCCGGGCACAGACACTTTGTAACCTCACAGGGTGGAAGGCGCCAGGGGGCTCTGTGGGGCCTCTTGTGGAGGGCACTCATCCCACTCACGAGGACCCCACCCTCATGCCCTAATCACCCCCTAAGCCCCCACCTCCTAATGCCCTCACCTTTGGGGGACAGGGGTCCAAGGTATGAACTGGGGGGGTCCAACATTCAGACCACAGCCCCCTCCGCATCCCGGACCCAGCCAGCCGGCCCATCTCACAGGGCACCTGCTAAACCACCATAAGAAGTCACGAGATGAGGCCTGACAAGCAAGCAAGCTCACGGAGCGTGGGGGGAGCCGGGCGACAGGCACACAGGCTCGCTTGACTATCTGTCCGCTTCTGTGTCTTTGCTTTGAAAATGTCCACAACCAGAGGCTACATAGAGAGAGAAGGTGTGAAGCGTGCGCGTGCACGCGCGGGGAGGGGGTGTTCAGGGCGGCGGCCACACCGCAGCAGCTCACGCGTGAACTCTTGCCCAGCTCCTCGGCGCTGGCCCCGGGCCCGGAGGGGCTCCAGAGCCCGGCGCGGTCGGGACGGGAGCTCAGAGCCGTGCCAAGCGGCACTGGACTGTTTGCACCAGGATTCAGAGCAAGAGACACTTCCAGGGTGACCACCGGCCCAGCGCTGCTTATCAGGCAACAAGCCCCACGCAGCAGGTGATGCGGAAGGCGCAGGGGTCGAGTGTGGAGGATGAAGAGCGTGCAAGGCCCGGGGACCTGCCTGCGGGAGGGACAGCAGCGAGGCCGTGCACGCAGGCCCCCCGCCCCCCGCCCCCCGCCGGGCCGGCTGCCCGCAGCACCGCTGCTATGTCGCACGCATTCCAGCCCCCGAGGTCTCGGCTCTCCGAGGCGGCCACCACGCCGTCTTACATCGCCCAGTGCTTCACACGGCAAGCTCGCTCGGCACGCTCAGGTTCTTCACGCACCCGTGTCTCTGCAATCCTAACGTCTACCGTCCAATCCAAGCCCCACGCGACACCACCTCGTGTGCTCAATGATTTAATTTAAGAAACTTGGTGCAGTCATGAACATTTCCCTACATTCGGATCTCCAAAACTTTGAGTAACGTGTAGCACAGCCCTCTACCTCTTTGTCGTGAGTGGAGAGAAACAGCTAAGACAACCATGGCTGAGTTATGTTCTAAGCTTGAAGGAAAATCTGCTCTCACCTGGGCCAGCGGCCCGGGGCCCGGTGAGGCTGGCCGGTCCACCCTGGGACGACAGCCAGCAGAGGCTCTAGAGCTTTCTGAAGATGGAGCACCAGAGCACCGCCTCGGGCAGGGAGCCAGGCCGCTCTCGGGGTGGGGGGGAGGGTGTCCCCGCCCAGTGCACGTCCAGGCCCCCAGCATCTGGCGGCAGCCTGCGCTCTTGCAACGGAAGTCAGGGCACAGCCTCCCGGTGTGACCCTGCTGCGGGCCTAAGAACACGCTCTCACCCTGCTTGACTAAAAAAGCCCCTTTCGACGCATAACCCTCCCTGACTCATCCAGAAAAATCCTCCTTCTCTGGGTTGGGGACGTCTGCTTTGGGACAGGTCTAAAGTTTGCTGTTCTTCTGAAACTGGGCCACGAGGCTGAGGACCTGCTCGGAAGCTTTGATGTTCTTGGAGCAGAGGTAGTTGGTGCTGTTGGTGGCTGTGTCCCCCGGGTAGTACCGGTAGTTGACCATCAGGCCGCAGGAGCTGGTGATGCCCTTGAGGCTCACGTCGGCCATCCAGTTGATGCGCCATATCACGGCCCCATTCTGCAGGTGGAAGTTTGCCACAGGGTTCAGGGCAAAGCCCCGATGCTTCTCTCCGTACAGGTACCAGGCACAGAGCCGCAGCAAGGGGGCCTGGAGCGCCCTGACCAGCTTTTCAGACTTCACCCACTCACTGCTGCTGAGAAAGACCTTGAGGGTCTCATTGATGGGACCGCCTGTGATCTCAGAGATTTCTTTACATTCCGAATCTGTAAAGAGTTCATTCCTCCCGTGTTCCTTTGCTTGTGCGTTCAGGAGTCCCAGAAGCCACTTGGTGAATCCAGGTATAGGAGACAGACTTGAAAATGTCCCAAGACGAGGAAACTCTTTCTGTAAGGCATGGTTGGTTGGGAAAGGAAGGTGGAGAAAACACACATACAAAATTCAGCTGGTATGTCACAGAAGCAGAAACACCCCTCCATTTATCATTTAGGCCTCATTAAGCCCTGCACGCTGCTGTGTGGTTTACATCATGGTATTTGATGTGCGTTCATTCTCTCCTTTCAAGGCACGTTTACTAAGAACCTGACATATGCTAGGGCCCGGCGGCATCCTGAGTCCCCAAGGTGAGCCTGTCTGAAGGCCTTCTCTGTCTGCACTATCACAGTGGTAAGTCAGGGGCTGGACCGAAATGAGCAGCGGGGGCTGCAGTGACGTGGGGCTTGATTCGCAGTCTTCTGACCATAGCTCCTGTGTGGCACACCTCCCAGGGACTTCTCTGCGGCCACAGAGCCTGGCTTGGCACTTGGCACGCAAGTACCAGATGGCTGTGTCTCGAGTGGGAAAGCGCTGGCCCGAGATCCCACAGTGCGTGCAAGGATGGGCGAGAAGGGGGGGCCATGGCTGCTTCTCCGTATCAGACGGTACCATTCATGGTCAAATGACAGATCTCAAGGACCATTTTGTAAAAACCTAGAATTTTCTGATTAAAAATGTACTATGTGCTCATTACAGAAGAATTTTTTTTTTTTTTTTAACTTACGTTGAAAACAAACCAACAAACCTACCACACTCCAGGACTCTGAATAGCTACTCTCCAGGTCTGATAAAGTGTAATTCCTCCTGGTCTTTCTCCAGGCAGTTTTTCCCTGAGTGAGATGTTATTTTATGCCCCTGCTTTATGAACCTGGATCGTGAGCATTTTCTTGTTTCCCATTCAAAATTCAAAAACATAACTTTAACAACAGAGTAATATTAAAAGATAAGACTATAGCATGATTTTCCTAACCACGTTCTTTTCAACGGGCATTTCGGGCGGCTCTCTATAAAAAGGTCTGCTTTTATAAACCGTGATGCACACGCTGGTGCAGGACAGTGATAGGGCTTTTTTCGGGTTCTCCTGGTGACTATCAGGCTCACAGCCGAGCATGGGACCAGAGACCCTCCCTCCCCCAGGATGGCTACTTGGCGGAGGGGCCGACTCTGACCCAACCGGAAGTAGAGTCTGCGGGTGAATTACCCAGAACCCCAGATTCTGCTCTTCTTCTGATGGCCTTTCTCACCCCGATACACCCCCTGCTCTCTCTCCTTGCTCCATTCATCAACACCGTCAGCAAAAAAGAAGGAAAGAAAAAGAAACTTATATTAATTAGATGGGGCTCCTATCGTCTCTGGGGAAAAGGTGGCAAGAGAGTGATTTTAATGAAGCTGATATCCAACTGAATCCTGAGTTCTCAGATTTAAGATTGATTATGAATTTAACACAAAGCACGGCAGTATTTTAATTCCATTCTGTCATTCTCCATGGAAGGGCTTCTGCTGCGGGTGCTGTGCTGAAATCACCCAAAGCAGAGAGCACCGCTCTCAGAACCAATTATTAGCAATCTAATTATTTTACCTAATAATTAGATTCTGCTCACTACAGTTCACTCAAGCCCCTTATGAGATCGTTTCAGAAAGCTAGACCTAGACTGAATGTGAACAATTCTGTTGTAGGATGGTGAAGCGTTTTTCCCAGGGCAACAGAGGGAAGTTATTAAAAAACAACAACAACAAAAAGGCCAGCGTGTTTACCTTCGAGGTGCCTGGTCTAACCTCGACACTCCCTCAGGGCTATTGAGAAAGCCCACACTGAGGGGGTGTCGGGGCCAGAGCCTGGAGGGTGTGGGGGCCGGTCAGGCACGGCCAGGACGACCACAAAGTGTGTCATCCAAACTGGGACATGGGAGTGAAGGGGCTGGTGGTTATGAAGCCGGGGTAGCACACGCAAGCCAGGAGAGGCCCCGGCCACAGGGCGGATGGTTTCCCGGGGGGGCTGATGTCCTCGGAAGACATCTGAGAAGCGAGGTTCCAGATGCCCCTCTCTCGGCACTGCTTACTTCTCCCGAGTCGTCCTGGGGCACCTGGGACGTGCCAAGGGGCATCTGGCTCTTTCCCACTCCCCCCACCCCCTCTAGGTCCTCTCGTCTCACACCCAGAGGCCCTGTGCCGTGCCCACCTGCAGCTCCTTGAGCACTCGCTTGACCAGGACGGTGCCCAGCTCCACCCCCTGCAGTCCTGGCTGCGTCAGGCTGATGGAGTAGAAGATGGCCGCCGAGATCTTGCTCCTCTCCTCCGTCTCCGAAGGGGGGCACTCCTTCACTATGGCCTGGAAGACACGATGATGGTGGGCCTGGGCCCCTTGCTTCCCGTGCCTGCCCTACCTCCTGGGCCAGGAGAAGCCAGGGAGGGCGGGAGCCGGGAGACCCTAGCGCCTGTTCACGACGAGGCTCTGGAGGCCAAAGGCCTGTTCTGACTGGAAATCTCCCCGAGGCAGCACCTGCGTGGCCTCCCTGGGCTGTTTGTTGCACGGGTAGTATTTCAGTCCCTCTGAGCTTCTCCGGAAACAACGGGAGTCCCCTTTACCTTTTCTTTTCCAGGCCTCTGTGCTGTGGGAGCCAGAGATGACTCTCCTCCCCACCCACGCTGGCACCCAGACCTAACCCATCCGCCTCACCTCCGTTCCCCGGCTGCCCCGTGCAGGCCTGCTGGCTGTAGCCCGTAGTTGTTCTTGTTCCTTCTCTCCGAGCTCTAGGCTTTTGGATTTCTCAATAGGCCATACATGCTCCTATACAGTTTTTCTCTGAGGAAATGTACTTTTCTCTGTACCTTTTTGATTTTGTGCTACATCCTTGTTTTTCCCCAGGGAGAACACCCACACCCACACCCACTCACGAAGTGACCTAGGAAAGACTCTGTAGGAAAGTCCCTTTGCCAGGGCTGATCTTATTAGCCCTGAGTTCTGAATGCAGGGATTTCTGAACCTTCCCATCCGAAGGTCGCCTGACCACTGGAAGAGCAGGTGGTTACCTGCAGTTTGCTTCAACGCACGTACACCAGCTTGCTTCTCCAGAACACATTTAAGCTACCCTAACTGCCACCAGCTACATCTGACTCTTGCAGTAGGGGTGGTTTGGCCCAGAGCCCCGATGAGGCCTGGGAGTCCCCAAGCTTTCTGAAATTGAGTGCGGGACGTGTGAGTCTGCGCATGTCCCCCAGGGGAAAATGACCTCCAGCTTTCATTTCATCCCCTTCAGATGCTCAAAGGGTCTTTCCTGTGACTCCTGAAAAATTAAGAACTACTGTCATAGGAAAGTGGGGTGGATGGTGGCACAGAGGGAGGGACACCCCCAGGGCGGTGCCACACCCTCTCCTGGGGCTGGACTCTGAGGGAGGGCTCCCAGCTGTCAGGGTCAGGGCGCACCTCAGCCTTGGGCTTGGTCTTCACCTTATGGGGTTACCTTTTTGTCCTTCCCGAACTCTGTAGGTTATCTTGCGTTCCCTATTCAAAAAGTTCCAGCAAATCTTTTTTTAAAGTGCTCAAAATACAAATGAATCCTTCTTTGATTATACAAGTGAGACGTGCACAATGTCAAAGAGGGAGCAAGAAGTAAATGCATAAGGAAGGAATCACAAGTTACTCCAAAACCTAATGCCAAGTCCTGCTGTTAACCTTGGGGTGAATGCCTTCCAGTCTGACTAGCTAAAGGTATGTACACACTTAAATACACACACACACACACACACACACACCCTGCACACAACCCCCTCCCCCCTCACCTGCTCCCATATGCCCCGATCTCCACACAAAAGGCATTGCCCTGAAGGCTGGTGTGTGGGCTGGGTTGGAATCCTGTCTCATCCTTACCGGTTCTGGGATCGTGGGCACATCACTGAAGTTCCCCTTCTCACACCCACCGAGGACAGTATTAGCGGGAGTGGCACCTAACCCACATGGTGCTGAGCAGTGACGCAGGGAATGTGCTTGAGGGGCCGACGGGCACTGAGCAAACGCTCAACCAATATACATGTAAGTAAGAGCACGCTACACATGCTAGGCCGGGGCCTGAATTTTACTCAAGAGTAAGTCAAGGCCGGCTCTCCGCGTCAAAACCGTAGCAGTAAATTCCCATTTAAATACACGCCTGGAGATCCTGGGTGTGAGGATGTAACAGAGGTATATGCCTTCGTGTCTTTGCTGCGTTCTCTATGGTGGGCAGTCGGGCCACCATGTCCAGCCTTCCCAAACTACACGATGCCCTGATGAGCCACCGTCCGCACTCTTAGGTCTGAGCAGGTCCCAGGGATGAATCCCTCAGAGTGGAAACTGTAGGTGGAAAAGAACGCCCGTTCTCCATTTTCATAGATCCCGCCGCCTGGCCTGTAGAGAGGACTGCCGGCTCCCTCAGACACGAAAGCCTTCAGGGCATTCCTCCCTGGTGGGCAAGAACACCTGCCCAGTTGCCCTGCTTGATTTCTCCGCCTTCTGATACTAGGAAACGCTGCCTGCGAGCCCATCCCGGTATCCGTTCTCATCTTTCCAGCTTCCTAACCGGCCATTCCGGATCCAAGCCCGAAGTGACCCGGGTGTCTCGGCTCCCCTCACTGCCCTTCCCTTCCTCGGAGTCTGCCCCCATCCCTAGCCCCACAATGGTTCTTCTTCTGCAGCAGTGTCCCCATCCCTGCACCTGCAGGAAGGATGGGGACTTTCTTGTCAACTCCGCAGGAGGCAGGGCCCATCACCACGGGCCTGTCCCCTCGGCTCCCTGGGCAGAGCGCTGGGCCCGCAGTAGGCACAAGGCACACAGTCTAGTTTTCAAGTTTTTAGTCATGGATCTTTTATGCCTGCCTACAGGCACTGAACGAACGCTCAACTGTGGAAGCGAGTGCCCTCCCTTCCTTACCCCCGTCTCCACTCAAAGTCAATTCCCGCAGAGGAGTGCCGTCCTCAGTCCGTAACTCTGTCTAGTACGGGTCTACACCCTGTGGCTACAGATCTGGAGATTTCTTCTCTAGCCAATTCAGAACACGAATGCCTCAAGCAACCCACTTCATAAAGGGGGGTAAAATCAGGTTTTAGAAAAATGTACGGGGCCCTGTGGGACGCCTGCGTGGTTCTGCCACGGCCGTGCAGGTACCTGGATGTTGCTGGAAATCTCGCCGGTCAGTGCCACATGCAACACGACCAGGGGCTCCTCGGGGGCTGCACAGTGAGAAAAGAAGTAACATCTCCTGTAAGGCCCGACGCGTCGCTTCATGTCCATCCAATTTTTCACAGGATGCACGGCCTCAGACCTGAGCAGAGAATTAGAAATAAGACAGTCGAACAATCTACAAGTTAAATAACCATTGCTGATCCCGATTCATATTACAACTTCAGGAGAATTCAAAGAAAATCGTTTTAATATGGAACAGCACTGACTGAGAGGAACTCCAACTAATGATCATTTTACACACCAAATTGTCCTCTAATTCTTAATACCTGGTCTTAAGACTAGTTTGCAGGGCCCTTGGGAAGCAGTTGTGCTGCAATTTTATTTATTTATCTATTTATTTTTAAAAAAAGATTCTATCTATTCATTTATTTGAGAGAGAGAGAGAATCCGAAGCAGACTCCTTGCTGAGCACGGAGCCCAGCTCGGGGCTCGATCTCATGACCCTGAGATTGTGACCTGGTTCCATTTGTCTAGTGACCTCCTCCAACCACTATATTGTTGGTTGTTGTGAAATGGCAGCCCCTGGAATTTGTCATGCTTCCGAGTGCAACCTTTGGCAAGCCTTAGCTTCCTTAAGACGGCATGGAGCATGGAGACCCTGAGATGGAAAGAGCTTCTCCTGTCCAAGGGCCATTGTGATATGCCAGCTGGGGCCTCTCCATGCCCCGGGCACGCTCGCATCGTGCACCATATGGCCCACTCCGAGATTCACCCAAGGGAGAAGTTTGCCCCATTAGGGGAGATCCTAAAGTCCAGGGAAGTCCTGCGGCTCTGACACTGGGGCCTGCAGGAAACCCAAGGACATCAAGGGGACCCCGCGTGCGGGCCTGCGGGCAGAATGGCCGGTGCCCACCTGTGATCTCGACATCGCCGGCTAGGACAGCCACACCACTTGCGAAAACTGTGCTTGGAACCGAGCGCCTGTGTGGGTGGAGACTGGCTTTCAGCTAACATTAAGGCAAAGTGAAAACCTTAATACTCACTCGCTGATTTTCTGCAGCACCTCACAGGGCGAGTGCCAGGTGACCCGCTCTAGGCTCAGGAAGCCGGAGGAGAACCACTCGGAGAGCATACCCTTCAGCACTCCGTTCATCTCCTGCAAGGGAGAACACAGTGCTAGCTGCCGGGGCCGGGAGAGCACACGCACCCCTGCCTCGTCGCGAGCCGGCACCGCGGATGAAGCGGGACACAAAAGCCCCCTGCACGGGGCTTCGCCAACCAGCTTCTCTGCAGGACCCACCCCGACCAGGCGCTCGGCACCCAGCTCTCTGCTTAGCCTCTGCGACCCCGGTCAGAAAGGGGCCTCAAGGGGAGCGTTCGATGGGAGCTAAGCTGCCCCAAGCAAATGGTATGTTGGGATGTGCTGACTGCAGTGAACACAACCGAAACGTGAGGTTGACAGAGCAAAGGATGGTGCATCACGCAGGGCGCGCTAATGCAGGCGGCGTGGGACTCGAGTCCCCACGCTCTTGGGAACACTCTGGGACGCACCGAGGTATCGCCCCTTGTTTCCCGAGAGAAACAAGTGCAGGGGCCGGGCACCACAGTCGGCAGCTCCACATGTCGTATCTGAACATCTCTGAAGTCGACATGCATCTTTCACGTGACGGCGGGTCACCCTCGTGGTGGGGGAGCGGTTTTTCCTACTTCCGTGGGACATAAAATAATCGCGTGTTTGGCGATTAGTGCATTTAGATTTGATGAAATTATTCTAATTTCACTTCACTTATTTGTATCTGATCTACGTGAGTCAACTTCACCTTTCAAACAAGAATGGCACTAGGTGTGTAGGAAAGGAGGGGACACAGGGGCAGACCTGGCTCAGGGTAGCCTCCTGTGACTCGCTGAACATGGGACAGCAGTAGGCTTCCTGACAGCCAGAGCAAGAGGACGCCCAGGGCAGCAGAAGTGGCTTGTTTGTTCCTCAACATCTGCCTCCCTTTCTTCCAAATGCACAGAAGCCTTATGCTTTAGGTAGGTGCATGGCTGTCCAGATTTAAGATTGCACTGCAGCTAGTGGTGGTCATATGACTGACTTCTGGCCAGATGTAAACAGAAGTGTCCTGGAGCAGCTCTGGGGAACCTTAAAGAATGGCAAGAGTATGCCCTTTGCCCATCTTTTCTTTGTTGCTCCCCCTGCAGGCTGGAAGATGATGTGATGGCCAGAGCTGCAGCAGCCATCTTGGGACATGAGGTAACTCTGGGGATTAAGGTTTTTAGGGGAGATCCAAATGGAAGTCTGGGTCAACTGAAGGCATCACAGAACAGAATCATCCCTGGGGTGTCTACCTCCAGACTTTTAGGTTAGAGACAAACTTCTCTCTTATTCAAACCACTATTATTTTGGGTCTCTGTTACTCATAGATGAACTATGTATTAACAGATACACTGATTACTGAGTAATAATAAATATCTCAGCACATTTGGTACAGAATTGACAAAGAGCTGTAATTGCAAAAGCTGTAAAAACGTTATAGGACCACTTCACATTTTATTCCCTGGTAAAAGGTGGAAGGATTCACAATGTTGTCACTTGAGGACAAGGTGCAAGGAAGTATAGGATTGGTGGCTCAGAAAAGGTTTCAGAATGAAGTGAGATTCATCTTTAAATATTTAAGGCCTGGGGCACAGAACCAGCCACAAATTTGTTCTGTGTGACCCTATGGGGGAGAGGAGGGAGGTAAATCTTGGACCAACAGGGGGAAATCATGGACCAAGTTAGACGTGGATTGAATTTAATATAAAAGAAGGCTTGAATAGGTAGATTGACTACAGACGCCATCCTGGATGGCCCTCACCATAGGTGGGCACCGAGCGCTGGGTCGATGAGGATTTGGTGGAGCTGTTTTAAGGATTTACGGGTTGGACCAGATGCCCTTTACAATGCCTTTTAATTCTCAATTCCATAACCTGGTCTTCTTCGCTCAGCTCTATGCTCACGGTGAGGGCAGAGGTTATTTCAAATTTACTCCTCTGGTGCCCAAAGAATTCAGGGTGGGGGTCTCCCATGTGGAAGACGGTTTGCAGACTGATGTCAAATGAAAGAGAAAGACCGGAGAATGGGGAGGAGGCAATGGCAGGATGGGAGAAGAGAGGCCATCGGCCAGGCAGTGCACAAAGGTTGCTTATAAAATACTGCCTTGGGCCACAACGGTTCTTAATCTTCCTGGGGTCCTCATGCCCTCCTGAGCACGTGCTAAAAACCAGGGACCTGCTCCCCAGGAAAACGCAAACACATGAGCCAATTTCTGCACATAATTTCCTGGGATTCGTGGAGCCCTCTGAAACTCACCGATGGCTCATCTCCTGGGGTTCGTGGACTCCAGGTTAGGAACCTGTGCGCTGCAGGGTTAGGACTGGATTAGCCAAGCTCCATGTGGGGAGGGCTGGTGCCTCTTCCACATTCATGACAGGAGCATGCGGGAGGTACCTAGTTCCAGTATCAATTCAGGATTAATGATGAAAGAAACGGTTTGGCCGGTGAGAGCTCCCCCTCCAAGGTCTCTTGGTTCTATTTCGGGCTACTGACGGCTGTGAAATGTGACCCTGCCACATGAGATCTGGGAATCTAGGTGAAAGGGCACAAGTCCCCAGGCTCGGTGCTCACGCGGCACAGCTGTTTGGGCCGGATCGCAGGCGACAGGAGGGGAAGACACTGCCTCTGCTTTATGCGCATCAGTTCTGCCATCGATCCCAGACTCACACACACAACTGCCGGGGCTGCCAATCAACCTGGACTCGGCTTTCCACACCTGCCCACTGTGGTCATCTTGGAGGACACTGTGCAGAAGGCCAATCAAACTCCCCTTTGGGCAGAGTTTGCTGAAGTTGTTGGCTATCAAGATCTCCCCATGTTTGGAATGTGGAGCAAAGTTAGTTTCCATTGCTCAGAAGCCCTGAGCTGGGACAAGGAGCTCGAAGCACTGGACAGGGTCCCGGAGGCACAGCTAAGACATTCTAGGTACGATTCCCACTGGTGGAAGCTGCTGTCCCTCTGGGGCACTGGGGCATCCCTGCCAAACTGCAGATAAGGTCCTTTTTGGTCTAGCTAAGCACAGAGTTTAGTAGAACCAACAAGGACCACTACGTTCACTGCAAAGCAGGACAAGCCATCAAAAGAGGTCGTACAACAAAGCATCCAGTGTGGCTGGACCTCGAGACAGTAGGGACGCCGGCCAGTCAGCTGCGAGTTTAGTCCCCTCTCTGCTGGACCCCGTGCTTCTGTCAAGGCCCGCACACCTCTCATCTCACTGGAATTTCTATGTTCCAACTGCCATCAAGAAACCCTTCCACTTTCTAAATGCCAGCTTCCCTCTGGTGCCCACAAGCCACTGAACAGAGCTCGGACCTCCTAGAATGGGAACTCAAGTCAGCTTCGTGGGGGATTTTCTCTCTAAGAAACTTAACTCCTCAACCCAAGTCGGCCTCTGGAGAAAAACAGAAAGCCTCTAACCCCCCCCCCCACCACAGCATACACCCCTATTTCCAGTAATCACAACCTGGACTGTGAGGAACTGTACCCTCGTTTGTGAATCTGATTTTGAGCCAAGCTTCACAGTAACCCTCAGAGCACTTCTTAGAAGGGGGAAGCAGGCTGACCTTGAGCATACCAACCGCCAGCAGAATCTCTCATCTCAGTGCACAGCCGATGGGCCCAGGGGTTAAAGGACCTGGATAAAATCATGCCTTTAATCAGCAGAGGGCACAGACAGTCTTGAGAGCCGGCCTCTTCCATCTCCACACAGTGCTTCCTCCACAGTCCCCACTGCCCCATGAAAGACACCCCAGCAGCTTCCTTTTTGGCCTCATACTTGCCCGTTACTCTAAAAATGCCATTGCACCCTATAGGATTCAGTAAACAAGAACCTGTCGTGGTCCCGCAGTGGACTGAGCGTATTCTGGGGTGAACGCCCAGGGCCAAACCTACAGCAGCCCTCATGCAAACCAGCGCGTGTCCATGTGACTTCGTCCAGCAAGTCCGGAGGTGAGCAGGTGTGGAAGAGTGACAGAGCCGGGACACGGTGCCATGTGCACGCAGGGAGGGGCACTCAGATCGGAAGCGACACGGAGTGAGCTCCCTGCTCCCCCAGCATCACAGGGCACCATGGGTCACTGGGCGTTTGGGACTCCTGCTCTAAAGATTTATGTGCCAAACTTCCAGTGGTTTCTAACACTGAATTCCTCAGAGCAAAAGGTTCTAGCTTTGTCGTCTCTTTAACCTGGATGCAAAATCCAGAACGATGTAGAAGAAACGGAAATCAAAGTGGATTGCACACATTATGTGATCCTAGCGATAGATTACAAAATTGGATCCCAGGGACAATTTCTATGGATTAAAAAAAACTATTCTCTGAAGGATTTAAATGATAGGAATTAAAAAAGTGCTAAGTGACCACGTAAAGCAAAGAAGAAGGGAATGGACGGATTTAGCTCTAATAGTTACATGCACTGGATAGAAGGACAAGAACTCCAGGTAGAGAAACGCCAAGAGGTGTGACTAAGTGACTAGAAAAGGCTTCTTGCCTTTGTCTGGGACACCCGCAGAGGCAAAGGTCAGGCTATTGTTACTCATCCTCTGTTCAAGAAATACCTTTACTCCACATGACCTTCTGCCTGTTGGTACAAAAGGTTTCTTCGTGTGTGGACTACCTTGGTTACAAAAACAAGGGAACCCTGAACAGCTGAGGACCTGGCTCAGGATCTCCCCAGAGCAAGCCCCTCGGGCGCCCAGATCAAGTCTCAATGTCACAGCTTTCAGCTGCCACGCGCCTTCTCACCTGAATGATAACCCAAGTTTTCTTGCGTGGGGAACAGCAAGGGGATGGACGCATTCGGTAACCTCTCACGAATTGGAGGATTTAGAACTGGATGGGACCTTAGACATCACTGGGGCCAACACGCTGAAATCTGCCAAGGGCTGGCCAAATGTCTGACGTGACACCTCTGCTGGCCATGCAGAAACCTTCCCAGCCCTCTGGGCTTCCCTCCGGGCTCAGACCTCTGAGTGCAGCAGGGTGACGTCAAGACAAACGGAAGTGATCAGTGTGTCAACTCCGTCTTGTGGCGGGGCACCCCAGACTCTCATCTCATGCATCATTCACCATTTTGCTACGCAAGACTTTTAAAACAAGGTTCTCAGTTTTCAAGGGGCTGATCATCTAGTTGGAGTTGGTGGGGGGGGGGGGGGCCTGGTGGAATAATACATTTCAAATGCTAAATTCTAATGTTAAGGAATAAGATCCAAGCAAATAATATAATAATACATGCACAAATAATACATGCCATGAAGCTCAAAACTGGGGGAGGCCACCTTGAACTGGAGTGCTGGAAACGCTGAGTGATGAGCAGCTCCTACTCTAACGGGCTTCCCAAGCAAGAATCACGTAGTAATGTGGGGTCGGCTCTTTCCATCAAAGGGGGGTCTGTGGAGAGGAGCGAGTAATGGGTGGGAAAGCTGGAAATGTCCGCAGTAGTTTGCTGTGCACCAAGAAAGCCAAAGGAAAGACATTACACGTTGATCCTTCTGGCCACGGCAGGATTGCTGATTTTGCAACAGGGAACAATGACCAGTGGCTCCAGAGAAAGATGAGTACTGATGTTACCGGTGAGATGGAAGCTTGTACACTTACTCCTGGAAAAAGTAAATACACTCACAACTAGAGAACATTAAACTCCCCATTAGGTGAAACTAAGTAAAAAACAAAGCCATTAATTAACTGGGTTGTTTTATCTTGTCCTTGATTTTGCAGAAAAAGGCAAATTCTAAGAAAACCAAATCCCTTTTAGATCCAGTAAAGTCATCGGCTCCGAGAATCAACGTGTAGCGACAAAGTACATAATTCTGGAGTCAAGACTGGGCTTGAATTCCAGCTCAGCACTCTGGGCATTGCACTTGACCATGAAGAGCTTTAATCTCCTCATCTGTACAACAGGTCCCTATGGCTTGCTGAGAATGAGATGAGCCAGTGTGCGAAAAGCACCTACCAGTCACTATGCCTGCTATTAACTCTTCCCATACTAGACTAGAATGGAAGCTCTTGAGCAAGTGACCTGAGCACCAGGAGCATGCCTGGTATAAGATAAACACCCAATGGTCACGTGTTGGGTGGAAGGATGGAGAGAAAGGTGGATTATTTCATTCTGGGACAGGTGACATTCTACCTAATTCTCCAGTTTTCTATGTAATAAAAATCAAGCTACAGAAGGACCACCATGAAGTACTGGTCCCTGTTTCAAGAAAAAACAAAAAACAAAGAAAACCCAACACCTGTGCTTGGATTGAAGACTTAACCCAGGCAGATGGGAACGCACACAGTGTGTAGAACATGAAGTCCCAGCCATTCAGGCTGGGCTTGAGTCAGAAATGTGATCAATTCAAATCGTGGCCCTAGATTAACATTTAGCATTATAAATTAACCAGCCATCATGAGTAATCAATCACAGCACTGTTATCACTGAGATTAACCCCATTTTTCACTATCCCCAGTGTTTATGCATCTGAGGCCAAATAGTCAAGAAAGATGAAGTCTCTCATAAACACCATAACTCACACCGCATGATGTAGTTATAAAGCATGGTGCAAAGAACCCCAGATTGAGGTTTGGGTAGATGATTGAAGACATACCTATTTGCTTTGAGTCCTTGGTCAAGTCTCCTGACCTCAGTAGGTTTCCTTAACCCACCTGAGAATGAGGACACGAACATGAAAATGATCATGCCAGTGTTAGCGTTCTTAAACGAATTAGGACATAATCGTTCAACTGCTCAATTTTTTAAAGCCAACTGCACCCAAAGAAGTTCTCAATGTCAGAAGCTTCCTGAAACATTCACATCATTTTTTGTCCACTAAAAGGGCAGGCTAGTGGCCCCTTCATATTTAATACCAAGAATAGAAGAGGACTACATTCAACTGTCAGCAATCTTTCAAGTCGTCCTTATTTAAATCCTGAAGTATTTACTTGCACCTAACATGAGCTCACTGAGCTAAGCACCTGATTACTCAAGTACTCAGCTTGGAATCATCGCATTTCAGGGCTGAACTCAGGAAAGTGCAACGCCCTGCACAGTCATGAGGCAGAGACCAGAGTCCTCACCCCTGGGCATTCTGCAGGGCTTCTTAGACCAGGGCTTACACACAGTGGGTGTGCAACTAACTTTTGCTGACATCATCCAGGTTTTTGGAGGCTACGTGATGCTCCGTTGCGTACTCGTTCAAGAATACCACACAGAGGCAACTCAGCTAAAGTAATAAAAAAAGAGACTTCGTGGAACACACTTAACCACGACGGAGGCGTTGACAGTCACGTTAAAGGCGGGCGGTGCCGAGTTTCTCGTAAGCACTACACAGTAAACCCTGGAGCAAGGCAAGGATTCAGAACGCCTGGGGAGGAAGAGGACGGGGTGCGGGGGACAGTAACCGGGGGCAAAGCGCGCGCGGCTTCAGGCTGGGGAAGGTGAGTGTTTGGGGCTCGAGGGGCAGGTACCGGGAGGACCGCCAGGAGCTCGCGTCCCTGGTGCAAGGCGGGGGCCCAGGCGGGGCCTTACCCGGACGTGCGGCCCCTCCACCAACTTGAGGGCCTGCGCCTCGAGCAGGTCGGCCCGCAGCCGCACCAGGAAGCGCACGCCGCCGTCCAGCTTGCTGATGTGGTGGAAGAGGCCGCGATAGCGCGGCACCAGCGCGTAGCGCAGCCGGTCCTCCGCCTGCAGCAGCACGGCCGCCTCCCGCGGCTGCTCGCGCAGCTGGAGCACGCCGGCGCTCTGCTCGGCCACCTGGCCGTGGTCCACGCCGAAGCCCCGCGCCAGGCGGCTCAGCAGCTCGGCGCGCTCGGCCGCCTCGGCCAGGCCGCCGTAGAAGCTCACGAAGTCGGCGCACTGGCCCTCGGCCGGCGCCGGCGTCTTCTCGCGCAGCTCATAGGCCGGCGTGGCGGGCACCGCGCGGCGCAGCAGCTCGTCCATGGCCCGTTCCAGGGCGCCCGCCGCCGCCGCCGCCGCCCCGCTCGACAGCCGGGGTCCGACCGGCCGCGGCGGCCGCGGGCAGAGCCGCAAGCGGAAGAGGCGCCGCGCCGTCAGGGCTGGCCCCACGCCTCGCATGGCACCGAGCGGCCGCGGCTCGGGGGACGCCGGCGCCGCGGGGCTTCCGGCTTCCGGCGCGCGCCGGCCTCATTAGTCGAGGCCGAGGGGGCGGGTGGAACGGTGGCCAATCGGGAGGCGGGGCGGGGCCGGGGCGGGGCCGGGGCGGAGCGCGGCGCGGGGCCAAGTGAGGCCAAAGGCCACTGCGCTGGGGGGATGCGGGCGGGGCGGGGTTGCGGGCGTGCGCTGCGACCTGGCCACCCAAAGTCACCGTTTCGGTCGCCACCCTCTTGCCCCAGCGCGTACGTGCCCCCCCTGCCCCGGACGCGAGCTCTGCTACCGCGAGCTGCATCCGAGTCACCTGGGGGAACGTGCTACGCCTGCGGATTCCTGGTCCCTCGTGTCTGAGGAGAAGCCTGGGCGGGAACCTGTGGGCTTACCAAGTGTCCCTGGTGGTAGTTCTCGGGCAGGGTGGCCTTCGTCTTAAGTCGTGCCTAGGCGATCTCAAATCGTTGCCAGGGTCTGATCATACAAGATGCCTCCCAGAGGTGCAGCTCTCCTCTCTCCTGAGCTCGGGATCCAGGTCGCCAGCAGCCTGCCGGAGAAATTTTCATGGACGCGGCAAATGGGGCGCTCCCCACCATCTTAGTCCCCAGCCTGTCCCTCCTTCCTTTTTTTTAAAGATTTATTTGAGAGAGAGAGAGAAAGCAAGCGAGAGTGCGCCAGGAGAGGAGGGGGAGGGAGAATCCCAAGCAGAGGCTCCCCCCTCCACCATGGAGCACCCCGAGATCATGATCTGAGCTGACACCAAGAGTTGGATGCTCAACCAACTGAGCCACCCAGGTGCCCCTCTCCCTCCTCCCTAAATTCATTTAACAGAGTTTATTAACCACCTGCTAAGTGCCAGGTCTTGTACTAGGCATGGAGATAAAATAATGAGCTAGGTAGACCAGATGGTGCCCTATGGAGTTTACAGTCCAATGAAGAGGATAACCTAACTACAAACTGAATGGTGCTAAGAAGGAAATAGGGAGCGTGCACTGACATGATGTAGCAGGGTTGGGGTGGACTTTCCACTGTGACCAGGGTGAGCAGGAAAGTCTCTGAGGCGGTGACATTTAAGCTGAGACCAGAAGCTAGTTATGGTTTGGCAGGGGGCGGGGATGAGCTGACCTATTCATTTTTCCAAGTTCAAAAGCACAGTTTTATAACCTCTCCCCTGCCCTTCATCCCACATGTAAGGTTTAGTGATCTCTACTTTTTTTAAAAAAGAAGATTTTATTTATTTGACAGAGAGAACACAAGTGGGTGGAAGGGCAGAGGGAGAAGCAGGCTGAGCAGGGAGCCTGATGCCGGACTCCATCCCAGGACTCTGGGATCAAGACTTGAGCTGAAGGCAGATACTAGAAACCACACCCCTTCTCAGCGGGGCCACGGCAGTAAGCTCTTTGCTTCCAGGCTCAGTCCTCCAATCCATTCTCTGCATCAGCTGTTGAGTGAACTTTCTAAATTATCCGTCTAACCATATTAGAGCCCACACCAACAGCCCCTGCTCTTTCTAGCCACATCTTTTGTCTCTTCCCATCTTGTTTCTATTACTCTGAGGCTCGATGGCCCTAGACTTTTAGATTTTGGAACTCATTCTTAAAACACTGGGAGAAGCAACACAGACGGGGTGGGAGAGGCAGTTGTCGGTGGGGGTGGAGGTGTTGGTGTTGAGGGTTGTGGAATCATATTCAATCTGTAGCCTCCAAACACAACCTATGGCAGTCTCTCCTTAGAGAAGGAGAGCTAGTGAGAGACTGGAGGGAATTTGCGGGGCCTGATGCCAAGTTTAGTGGAGTCCAGAAAAAATCCAGCCAAGAGCTCACTGTGCTCTTTAAAAAAGAGAAGCCTAATCTAGGTAACAAAGGATGAAGGACAGCATGAAAGAGCCTGCTGAGATCAAAGGGTGGACAGTGTCTGGGGAAGGGTTGGTTTGTTTGTTTGGGGATATATAGGGTACCTCATGATCTGTGGGTACCAGAGACTGGACCCCTTCCTTTCTTAGTCACACAGTGGTAACTGACATCCCATTAAACCCCCTTGGATGTTCCGGACGTGCCTTTGAGAAGAGAGATGTGTGCAGGCATTGGCTAAGCCCTTTACCTACCTCGACACACTAACAACACTTTATCGAGCACTTACTAAGTGTCATCTGCTCTTCTTAGTCTTAAACACATTATCTCATTTAATCCTCATGATAACCCTAATGGCTTAGGGATTTAAATTTTTATAAAATGAAATAAAAGTATTCTCAGAGCAAGAAAGGTCTTTCAAAATAGGACACAAACCATAAAAGAGAAATTGGTAAATTTAAGTACATAATTTTTTCCCCAAAGTTCTTTATGCTTAAAAACAAGATCAAAGGGCGCCTGGGTGGCTCAGTCGGTTAAGCGTCTGCTTTCGGCTCAGGTCATGATCCCAGGGTCCTGGGATTAGCCCCACATTGGGCTCCCTGCTCAGAGGGGGAGTCGGCTTCTCCCTCTGCCTCTCCCCACCGGCTTGGCTTGTGCTCCCTCTTGTGCTCTCTCTCTCTCAAATAAATAAATAAAATCTTAAAAAAAAAGATCAAAAGACAAACACTACATTGGAAAAATATTTGCACACTGTTAATTTCCCTAACACATAAAAAACCACAATACAATGTGAGAAGACTGTCAACCCAACAGAAAAGTGGAGAGAGAGGATATGACCAGGGAGCTCTTGGAAAAGGAAATTGAAATGGCTCTTAAAAATAGGAAAAGTGCTCAACTTCACTCATAATTTTAAAAAGGCAAATTAAAACTCCAGTGAGCTACCAGCTTTCATTTACTGGATTGTCATGATCAGAAAGTTGCTAAGACCCCTTGCTCACAGGCTGTGGGGACACAAGGGCCCTGTGACCTTGCTGCTGGGAGTATGTCTTCAGCCCTGCAGACGGTGCCTTTGCAAGATCTATCAACACGGCAGACTGGCCCAGCGATTTTTACTAATAAATACCTGATCTGCTGAAAGGGTTGGGTTAATGACAGGTGGGATCATGCTTGGGGCACTCAATCAGCAGGACCAGGAGATAGGCACAGAGACTAGGACAATATCGGGTCCCCCCACAAGGAGATGCAGGTGAGGGGCGCGGAGAACTGTCTCTCATGATGGCTGGGACTCAGCCTCAGAAATTCTGCTCTAGAATCTTTTGGCCAATAAGCAACTGAAGCTTGGTGCGAGGCTGGTTGGAACAGCTACATTTGCAGAGCCAATCAACGGAGGCAGGACTGCATACTACCAAGATTCACAGGCTCCCAAGTCGGCAGAAGGCCGGAGCTATGCGTCCTGGACCTGCCACTTACAAGTTCAGTGACTGTGAGCAGGCTTTGTCACTTTTTAAAAGCTGTTTCCACATCTGTGAGATGTAAATGACAGAGTTATCTATCTCACAGTCTTGTGAGGATTCAGTGAAACAATTCAGGGCAAGCACATGGCAAGCAGTAAAGACAGTAACATTTTAGCTAAATTTTTTTTTTGAAGATTTTATTTATTTATTTGAGAGCCAGAGACAGAGATAGCGAATGAGAACACTGAGCGGGGAGGAGAGGGAGAAGCAGGCTCCCCACTGAGCAGGGAGCCCGATGCGGGGCTCGATCCCAGGACCCTGGGATCATGACCTGAGCCGAAGGCAGACGCTTAACGACTGAGCCACCCAGGCGCCCCATAGCTAAACTGTTATAAGTAAATAAATGAAGGAAGGAAGTAAAGTGTTGTGAGTAAATAAAACAGAACTATTTTGGGATGGGTGTATGTTTGCATGTGTCCAAAATGAAGCAACATGTTGACCCAGGATTATTTCCTCATGACTCTGAGACCTGTAATTCCTTGAGCAACCGCCAGACGACAAGAAGACATTTTCTTTTGAAATGATTTTCAAATAGTTACAGTGATTAAGAGAGATTTGTTTTGTCCTCTAGGGAGTTAGGCTCTGAACTCCCCTTCATTTCCTCCTCCTCCTTTGCCCCAGTGTGCTACCTTTATGGAAGAGAATATCACACACTGAGCAGGTGCCCCACACACCCAAACTGCAAGAAGCATTAGCACTAGGATGGGACTTTGCTTCATTCAGATGAAAATATAGTATCTTTTGCTCAAGGGAGGAGGGGTGGAGCACCTGGTTGACTCTCTCTAGGTGCCAGAATTTCATAGATGGAACCCTCCAGAGCAAGTTTGGCAGTTTACAAATCCTGGGAGGTAGTTTTTTGCGAGACCAGGCTTTGCGGGGCATGTCTGATCTCACAGAGCATGTGGAAACTACATTTGGTTCATTCTGAAAAAACACAGACACACAAAGCACCCTGAAGTTCCTCTTTACCAAGGAAGTGGCGTGAACTCATCACCAGCGGCTGGAGCCTCTCTGGCTTAGATGCTCTTCTTTGGCGTTTGGCCACATCTGCCTCCCACATGCTCTCATCTAGCTTGGGATCCTCCTACTTATGTGGGGACCTGGTCTCCAAATCTCCTATTTTGCTTAAGCATTTGCTTCAAGTACAGTTCTCAGTCTCCCTCTCCCAACTGCCTTCCTTTTCCCATAATTTCTGGTTTCTGTTTTTATCTGTGTTCACACTCATTTTTCTCTAGGTGTCCCCAGGAGTCCCTGGATCCTTCTTCTCCTTGCTCATGTCCTTGGCTCAAAAGACTTCCCTACCCAAGAATGAAATTAAGAAAACAGTTCACTTTACCAGAGTATCAAAAAGGAAAAAATACGAATCACCTTAACCAAGGAAGTTTCAGATCTGTACACTGAAAACTACAGAGCCTTGTCGAAAGAAATTAAAGAACACCTCAATAAATGGCATGATATTCCTTGTGAATGGATTGGAAGCTTTAATCTTGTTAAGATGGCAATATTCACCAAATTAATCTACAGATTCTATGCAATTCCTTTCAAAATTCCAATTTGCAGAAATGGAAGAGCTGAATCTAAAATTCACATGGAAATGCAAGGGGTCCCAGACAGCCAAAAGAATCCCTAAAAAGAAGAACTAACT